CCTCCAATTAACAGTCCAGACATGCCCCTAAGTCCAAAATCACCCAACGAAGCTAAAGGAACCGACGAAACTCCATTCCGGAGTCGTCTTCACATAGTTCCGACTACGGTCAAAATCCTAAGACTTAAGCTTCCGTTTAGGGACTAAGTGTCCCAAAACACTCTGAAACCAATAACAAAACCTCCCGGCAAGTCACATAAGCAGAAAAAGATACGAGGGAAGCAGTCAACAGGGGATCAGGGCTATTACTCTCAAAATGACCGGCCGGGTCGTTACAAGATATAAGAGTGTGTACAAAGTTTATAACATGTATCGATTGTATTTATTCGCACAACGAATACAACCAAGGAAAAATACCGAAATACAGAAAAATAGATTGCTCTCATTGAGAATCGAACTTAAGACATGTCACGACCCATAAACCAACCCGGTCGTGATGGCGCCTAACGTGGTACTAGGCAAGCCGACACATTTCCAAAACCAATCAATATTTTCATTCTTAAGATAAAATCAAAGCTATTTAACAATAAACCTTCATAACGTGTTTAAATCAAAACAACAGTGCGAAAAGGAAGCCCGACATCAGGGTGTCACTTGTCATGAGCATCTACTACAACCGTCTAACAACAACAAGACTGACATAGCCCGGAAATAACCGATTACAACTAAGGGAGGATAAGGAGGGAGAGAAGCAGGGTTGCGATCGCCAGGCAGCTACCTTGCTAACACCGATGGACCTGCCACTGAGTAATCAACACCCGCTACCGGGTTCAGAAATACCTGGATCTGCACACAAGGTGCAGGGAGTAATGTGAGTACGCCAACTCAGTAAGTAATAAAAGTAAATAGAGACTGAGCAGTAGGAAACAAATAAATCCATATCATGATAAACTCAATAAGCACAACATGCCTTCAAATCAGAATATGAGTCAAATCATCTCATTTAAAATCCAGTTTTTAGTAAAAATCATTTGAAGATGCTTTCCAACAGTTTCAATAGAGGTTTAATGCAGTTTATAGTAAAAGTGATGAATATCATATTCGGCCCCACGCGCAAAAACCTAGTTCGTATACAGCCCCTCGGGTAAACATAAATCATAAACAGCCCCTCGGCAAACCTCTCGGTCACTCATATACATCTCATAACATAAAAATCTCAGTGGAACTAACAAGGCCAAATCATAACTAAATTCCGAACATCTCGTAAAACTCCAGTTTCAATGAAAGTTGTTTAAAACATTTGTTCAACATTTTCAATAGAGGCTCAGCATAAAGAGGAGTGAAAACAGTAATTTCATAANATATATATATATATATATATATATATATATATATATATATATATAACCTCTCAATCACTCATGACTCAACTCTCCTCAATCAACCCTCATACTCAACACTCACGCTCAATAGGTACCTTATAATAACGGCTGTGGCGTGCTGCCTGGTCCATAAATATATATAGTCGACTGCGCTCACTGGGGGTGTGCAGACTCCGGAGGGGCTCCTACAGCCCAAGCGCTATATCGCTGCGGCGTGCAGCCCGATCTATATATATATATATNCGATTCCGCTGTATATATATATATATATATATATACACACACACACACATATATATATATATATATATATATATATATACACACACACATATATATATATATATATATATATATATATATATATATATATATATATATATATATGTGTGTGGGTGTGTGTGNATATATATAGATATATATATCGCTGCAGCGTGCAGCCCGATCCATAAATATATAATCCTCACAATCAGGCCCTCGGCCTCTCTCTCGGTCATCAATCTCACAAGCCACTCGGGCATCTCAGTGAAAAATCAGGGAAACTCAGCCCAAACAACTTTCATATATTTAAAAATAGAGTAATGAACTGAATCAAACAATGAACAGGTAAAGTCATGACTGAGGATATGCTTTCAAATCAATACAGTGTGAGGATAGTAACAAAATACCCCTGAGGGTCCAAACAGTATAGGCACAAGGCCCCAATCATGGCATTCAGCCCAGGTTATAAGAATTCTTTCTAAACATATAGCTATTATATGGCTTAATCAAAATATGCAACTCTATAGTTGCTGCGGGATGGACCAAGTCTCAATCCCTAACGGTGCACGCCCACACGCCCGTCACCTAGCATGTGTGTCACCTCACAATAGTGAAACGATGTGAAATCTGGGGCTTCATACCCTCAGGACAAGATTTACAATCATTACTTATCTCAACCCGGTCAATCCTCTACTCCGCAATGCCCAAAAACGAGATCATGGATTAACGGGGATAAGCTGAAGGAAGAAATCAATCAGAGATTGATTGAAGCAATCAAAGGAGATCAATGTAAAAGAAGATGCACGTGAGATCCNCCCTTGCCTCTTGAACCGGCCTCCAAATGCCTCGAATCTAGCCACAAACAATTCGATACAATCAACACGAGCAAAAGGGCCAATCCCATAAGAAATTACTAAGCTTAAGGCAAAAATTCAAAATGTCAACTCAAAAGCTGGGCCCCGGGCCCACGTCTCAAAATCCGACCAAAGTCTCAAAATCCGACAACGCACTCGATTACGAGACTAACCATACTAGTTTCACTCAATTCCGATGTCGTATCGGCTTTCAAATTCCAAAAGTTCATTTTATGAAGTTCCACAAAATTTCCCCAAATTTTCACCCCAAATCACTAATCAAATGATAAATCAATGATAGATTCATGTATTTTATCCAAATTCGAGTTAGAATCACTTACCCCGATGAATTTCTTGAAAAACCTTCAAAAAATCACCAAGATCCGAGCTCTCTAGGTCAAAATATGGAATAAAATCCCAAATCTCGTATTTATAGTGCACCTCTCGGATTTCCATTTCCGCTGACAGCCAAAAATCACCGCCCCAGCGGTCTTCCACCGCTGACCGCGCTTCTGGTGGCTGCACAGACAGACCTTAGTATTTTGGCCATAACTTTCTCTACAGATATCCAAATGATGATTTCTTTACCTTTCTGGAAACTAGACACGAAGGCTACAACTTTCGTTTTTGAATCATCTCAAAATTCCTTGTAGATCAAAAGATATAGGCTTCCGAAGTCGAACCAACGAACCTGCGTATTCTTCTCTAGAGCGCCTCAGCGCCCCTTTTTCCGCCTTCAGCGCCCATTTTCTGCCCTCAGCGCTCCTTTTCCGCCCTCAGCGGAATATTTAAGCAGCAAAACCATGCCTGAGTTCCGGTAATACCCGGACTCGCTCAGCGCTCCAACTCAATCGAGCTCTCGAATCACCTAAAACAATAACAAAAACATGAATCGCACACCAATTCAAGCTTAATGGACTTGAAACCTCAAACTTCCACAACCAATGCTGAAACCTTTCAAACCTCGTCCAAATGACCTCAAATTTTGCACACACGTCATAAATGACATTACAAGCCTACTCCCAACTCCGGAAATTCCATTCCGACTCCGATATAAAATTTTCCACTGCCGACCGGAAATCGCCAAATTCCCAGTCTCGCCAATTCAAGCCTAATTCCACTACGGACCTCCAAATCACAAATCGGACGTGCTCCTAAGTCCAAAATCACCTAACGGAGCTAACAAAGTCATCAAAATTCAAATCCGAGGTCAAATACTAAAAAGTCAAAACTTGGTCAAATCTTTCAAATTTAAAGCTTCAAGCTGAGAATCTTTCTTCCATATCTATTGCGATTAACCTGAAAACCAAAACCGATACATGAGTCATAATACATCATACGAGGCTAGGCATGCCCGAGAACTGGCGAGCAAAGTGCAAGTGCTCAAAACGATCGGTCGAGTCGTTACTAGACATCCGCTTACTATGCGGGTGCTCTAACGAACTAGCTACGAGAGCTTGTTGCTCTTTTATTTCAGTTCAAAATAATTGATCTCTTGTTTCAGTATGACAAGTGAATTTGCTATAAAATTCAAATATAGCTACGAATGGTAATTTTCTAAAAGTATAGTTACGAATGAAAAATACAGTGTATATATTTGCTGTGTAGCATAATTTTTTCTTTGTATAATGAGTAAGCAAGAAGGATTGATTTCAGAGACCCTTAATTTTAGTACTCATTATGGATACATGAAGCATTATTTTCGTGAATATATCAAGAATTAATGTCAAAAATTATTTTCATGAATAAATCAGCATGTGCTAAAAAGAAATTTCATGACATATCTCAAGATTATTTTGACTTTCCTTTATTTCAATATAATTACCATCTAAAATTACATTCATCTTTCACACATAAGAGTAGCGGACATATATTAATATGAGATACTTCAAGTAATAGTTTTTAGCCAAAATATATTAAAGAAATTTCTTTATTTTCTAAGAAATAAAAAAAAATACTTAATGTTTAATTAAATTAAAAAATTGATAAATATTAAAGAGGGAAAAGAACAATGCTTTTGGAAAGGAGGTATACTCAATCCAAGCAATAGAATTGGCGGGTTCAATCCTGCACACAACTCCCCCAAGAAAAGTTCTTTATTTCTTTTTCTTTTAAAGGTATACCATTAATACAGACTAAACAAAAAGCAATCTTAGCCTTTGAGTACTTCTCTCTGAGTACCATCAGCAAAGCCTAATAACTAATAAGTGTAGCAGACTGACAAACTCAGGAATTTGCTAAGTGTGTTTGTATGTACTTGTTTGTTATGTTTGTATGTGTGAAAGAATATTAGTATTTGTTCTATGTGCACCGCATATTTTTTTCATAACAAGGCATTTGACAATAAGTAGCTATTTTGCGTGGACTCTTCAAATATCCTGCCGCACCCGTGTTCTCCAAAAATGCGCTACTTATAGAGGATCCGACACGCACCTACCGACATTGTTGAAGAGTGCGAGCAACATAGATAAGTAGTATCTCAGAAGTGACGATAATAGTGAGGACATCATAAGGGCTATTTACTAATGCTTAGACTAGTGTTTATTACCAAATGATACACGCCTGCGGCAAACGATGCACGATAAGTTCTTTCAACATAGATCATAGATGCAAATTGAAAGGAAAGAATCATAACAAGGCATTTGAGAATAAGTTGTATCTCACGAATGATAAGAATAGTGAGGTATAAATAAGTTCAAGATTTGGTCCCAAGAAGCCATTTTGAGTAATGCAGGTTCAAACACTTCTAAGGCGATCAGTGGAAACAAGCCTCTCTGCAGGTATTTTCATCACATCCCTGTGGATTCCAATATCAGAAAAAAATCGATTAGCACAGTAAAATCCCCAACCAACAGCTGCAAGACCACTTGTAGGCATAAGGCGAACTGGTGATGAAGCCAACGCGCTAGCTGCTGCAGCCAATGACGCTGCCTGACCACTGCGCCCTATCCCCACATTTCTCAGGAGCAGATAACCCGTCTTGCAGTAGATTGCAAAATCCTCGCAGTTGTTCTTGAAAAGGTTGTAGTTTCCAAAACCGTTACCAAGAAGAATCTCAGCGCGGAGGAGGACATCCTCCCGAGAATCAGAACGAGCAAAGGTGCACGTTCCTCTCACTTGGGCAAGAAAGAAACCTGGCGATACACCATATTGAAAACGATATAATTTACCGCCAGAGAGGAAGCATTCAAGGCATGAAGATATGACTCCATCACTCCTTGGTCGATCACCACATGTTGGACATGGGGATACAGGGCGACGAGAGGGAGATGAGCTAAAGATGTAACGATCGAGGACTGTTCCTGTTCCTATCTCCCGACCAGCTGCTGGGGTGAATTGGATCACGTTTCCATCATTAACATATATTCCTGATATCGAAAAGAGGATATGTCAGTTAATTCAGGGGAATATACCACACGTGCTTGTTAAACATCGAATCACCTCATCTAAAAGTTAAATTGTTAGAGAGAACGTACTTTTACTTGCGACATTGCTCATCAACAGACAAACATTAGCAAAATCGCATGAAGACACCAGTACTGGAAACTAGAGATATTACCATGCAATGCAGAAAAGAAGAAGAGACTAGCAGAGGCGGATCTAGGATTTTTACACCACTAAAGAAAAGAGAAAAAAGAAAGTATTAAGTGGGAATTGATCCCCTACTCCTCTAGGTAAAAAACCCTCAACTTTCAACCAAGTGCACCATTTAACTTCTTTGGAGCATACGGCTGCCAGTAGATAATATTAGATCAATTCTAGAAGATATGTACGTAAAATACCTAGTATGGTCGACAGACCATGGGTTCACATGCCCCATATATTAGGCTATAAATCCGCCCTGCAGACCGGTTCTGTATTGTTTCTTAATATTTCACACAAACTCTCAGAGAGATTGTCTTAGCTTACATGATTCTTCTTCCGTATAAATAACCCTTCGCTATGTTTAACTCTTTCTCGTTCAGCTCAAAATTACTATATTTCCTATAATTTTCAACTGAGGGTGGCTCTCCAGACTAAAGAGGTCTAATCATTCTAGATAGCTGAAACTGAAATATGCGTCATGTATAGGTTTCTGTCAGTACAAAACCTGATCCAAAGTTGTACCACTAAGAAGCCAATTCATCACGTCCAACATTTTGATTGGGAAGATCACTCAAACATCTTCTTTCTATGACTAAACTCATCTTAATGATCTAACTGAAAAGCTATGCGAAAGATAATGATAGAAGTTTTGACTAAGGCAAGAAAGGATCTGCCTTTGTCATTGCTAAGAACTCTAAATCAAGATGGATGTTCAAGGTGCAGCACAAGGACATATTATTACACTATTCAAACAATGGTCAGTAAGACTTTAATCTCAAGTGTTGAGACTTAAATTGGATACGAACAAAGTGAAGAAATGTGGAAAGGAGAATGGTTATCAACACAATCTTACAGTGATCATTTGTCAACTTTGACACAAAGAAAATGCTAGAGAAAATGCTCGAAATAACATTTAAACTTGGGGAGAGTGAAGATAAGGGAAGTTGAGCATAGTAATGTGTATAGTGAAGTTTAAAGTTGATGGAGCTTAGGCTACTATCAGCAGTAAACTGTTGAGGAAAGAGCAATTCTTACAGTCTAAGCACATAAGTTTTCGACATATGTTATATTCTCTTTCATCTGTGACTTGTATTATCTAACAAAAGCTGCCCTGCGACTGCACCACATTCTTATCCCCGAGAACAACAAGAGGTGCTCGAGAAGTGAACAGAGTTATGCTATCAAGTCATCAACTATATCTACCAAATTATCAAACAGCGCAAAGCCAGGACTTCTTTGTCCTGTACACATCTGATTTCTCTAGCAATTTTCCAACCTTTTAAATGTTAGACAACCAAAGCACCTAATTCAAAACTCGAAGCAATTAGGTAGAGCAGTCCAAGACTTCCATTAACTTATTCAGAAATGTTTATCCTTACATCATATTCACTAGAACTTCGCGAATGCATAAATCCAACTCATTAAAATATTTTTCATTAAAATGAGGAAAGTGACTTTCTTCATTTGTGGATGAAACTCATTTTCCTTTTAAAAATATCCCAAATCGTGATCAATTCCACTTGTTATTATCAACAATTCAATACATACTGTTCAACATTTAATAATTCCCAAATATCTAAACAAGACATTATTCTCATACCATCCGATCCCTTACACCTTGTACGATTCTCAAATCCAGGCAGTAGCACTTAAATGTATTGCATTAAAAGTAAAGCGTTTTTCCTCTCCTTTTTCTCTTAATTAAGACAAATGCCTCAACATTATTACAACAGGAGATATATAAAGGTGAGTTGAATTTTGGATCACATTATTACAGCAGTAAAAACACAAAGCAGAATATACCTGCAGATTCTTAACTTTTACTGAAGAAATCATATTAGGTATGATTCCATTAGCCAAGAGCCACTACTATTAGCACTTTAAGCTTTTGCCTAGATACCTTTCACATTGTTAAGTCTTTTTTCACTAGCTTTAGCACATTATCTATTTCTTTATTCAGTAGTATATATAAAACTTAGCTAAAAATATTGTTAATTAAACTCTCCTTATTAGGGTAGGTAGTGTCAAAGAAAGACAAAAAATTATATACTAATTCCTAGCTAGTCTTCTTATCTTTCTCTTAAATCTTGTTTCTTAATTTCTTCTTTTGTTCGCAAAGTATTATTTCAAATCGATAACACTGTTATTTGTGTTGAAGTAAATGATATCGAAAAGATATTAAATCAGAGTTATTAAACTCGAAGCAAAAGCCGTCAAAATCACATTTACAGTTCATTTTGTGGTAGTAATAACGACGATTTATTGGGTACATGCATCATTCATCATCTTAACACGTAAGCCAAGTTGTCTTCTACTTAACCAAATCTTCCAGCCGAACCAACCAATATTTTGCCTCCTCTTTTGTTTGCAAATCATTATTCCAAATCCACAATGCACAATTATTTACGTTTAAGTAAATGATATAGAAAAAATATTAGTAAGTCAAAGTTAATAAACTCATTTTCTTTAAATAAGATTGATTACCTATCAAGTCATATTGGACCAGAGGCGGAGCCAGGATTTCAACTTTATGGGTTCTGTACTTTAAATGCGGACTTCATGTGCTAGTGATTGGATTCTAAATTTAATATTTATATATATATTTAATAAAAATTTTAATACAAATACATTATTTGAACAAAAGCTACTAGCTCGGCCGGCTCCGTAGCTCGGCCTCCGCAATAAATTAATTACCACATGCAGTAGCTAGCTAAGAAAATGGGGAGTCCGGAACCTAACTATTGTAATTTTGGACTCAAAATACTAAAATAGGGGAAAAAAGACTTGACAACATTTTTATATATAGCGCATTTATTTAATATGCTAGATCTTAGCGGCCAGTTTCTCCGTTAAGGTATGGCGCATGAATGTGATGACCCGAAAGGTCATCTCATGTTTTAGAACCCAATTCTGCGCTTTTAAGCTTTAAACACCTCGTTTTATTCCTCCTCGATTTGCGTGGCAGTCCGGGCATGTTTCCGAAAAGCTTTTATGTTAAAAAACTGATAAAAATATAAAAATTTTGCTTAGAAATTTATTTGAGTTGACTTCGGTCAACGTTTTGAGTAAACGGATCCGAATTTGTATTTGTATAATATAATTTTCAGATGAAGAGGTTTCCCTTCACAGTTCACACCACTTAGTTCTGCCACTGGCAAGAGTGTTCATCAGAAAGGTATATGAACACTTGTCAATTTTAAAGTCTATAATGAACCAAAAAAAATTTTAGAGGATTCCAAGTGTACTGTAGGAGAACATTGGGATTGTGAGTTTGACGTAAGAATTTGAATGTTGAATTAAATAGCTTAGCAAGTCTATCATTAGGAATCAAATAAACAAATAAACCAATTAATTTTAAAATAAAAAAGAATAAATCGATAAATATGTTTCTATAGTAATTACCGTACTGTAGCTTAGTCCAAATTTTTCACAGGAAGCGTTCAGCTTTCAAGTTGTAGGCATGGAAGAAAAATTACTCATTCTCCAGCAGCATAAACTATCCCATATCTCCTTTTTCATTTCATCCCAAAATCATTTTAGGTGTCAATCTTGTAGTACTAATCCTTAATCCTTATTATTGATTATCATCGAAGTAATTATTAACTATTTTCCATCTCTTTCCTCTTTCTCTCTTTTTGTGTTTCCTGCTTGAACCTACATATGGCTCCTAGCAAATGAAATTTCGCTTACTGATTGTACAATTGACAGACTGCTTAATTCTCATACTATTACTACTGTTTATGTCACTCTTCTCTTTGTTTTTCCAAAAATATAGTAGCTGGTTTATGGCTTCGACCCCCCACCCCCCCCCCACCCCCCCTCTTTCTCTTTTTTCCTATTTTCTGGTGATTTGTGGTTCATGATACAGTAGAGCTCTTGTTTGTTTTTAAGTATTTATAACTTTGTGATCCATATCTGATCTTATTTATGTTCACGCTCTTAGAAATTTTATGTGGTGCCTGGTAATTTTATCTGAATTTCTTGGGGCCCGGTAAAGTTGGTGCTATGTATCAAGAGGTTACGGGTTCGAGCCGCGAAAACAGGCTTTTGCAAAAATGCAGGGTAAGGCTGCGTATAATAGGGGTGTTCAAAACCGAACCGAAACCGAAAACCAAAACCGAAGCTTAATGGCTTATTGGTATCGGGTTAACGGTTTAACGGACGGGGAACGGATTGAAATTTTTTCATTAACGGCTTATCGATTTGGAGGCGGATTATTCAATTTTCTTAANATATATAACCCTTCCACTTCAGTCTTCCACTCTTCCGATATAATTATCTCAACGCCTGACTCTCAACCATCAAACTGCAGTCTCTGCCCGCCCTCTCTCATCTACTTACATGATGGTCACTGCTACTACTGATCTAAAGCTAAACGAAAGGGATAACCAGACAACCTTGGAGGAGATGTTGCTCCAATTGGACATGGGGGAGAAAATGGCAAGAAGAGAAAAGCTGAACGAATATGGGCAGCATAGAATGTCTTGTGTCAACAGTTCAGACATTCTTGGAACTGCAAGGAACGCACTAAACCAGTATCCCCGCTTTTCTCTGGATGGCAAAGATGCCATGTACCGGTCTTCTTTCCATGATGTGTCTCCTTTGCTAACCACAAGTGTTGGTGCAAGAAAATTAGTATAGATTGAATTAGGTCGATAAACCGTCGATAACCGCCCGATAAGAGCTAAATCGATACCAATCCGCCCAATATCTTATCGGGTGGCTAGCGGATTAATACATTTAAAAGCCGATAACCGATAAGCCAAACCGTTAAGAGTAAATAACCGCCCAATCCGTCCGATAAGCAGCCCTAGCGTATAATAGACCTTTATGGTCCGATCCTTCCCTGAACCCTGTGCATAGCAGGAGCTTAGTGCACTGGGTTGCCTTTTTCCTTCTTTAATATGTTCCTTTTCTAATTATTTTGCCTTTTCTTACAATAATAATGTAGAGTTAGATCACTTGGACTATCTTAATTGATTCTTTTTTCTTTTCTTTTCTTTTGAGTCCGGGCGATTTGATTGCAGCAAGCAAGTTCGTATGATGTTTTTAGACTTGTGTACATAGTTGGTTTAGAGCCCCGAGAGCTCGAGTGTGTTTCGAATAGGCTAGGAGTTAAAATTGGACTTAGAGCATTGCTAGTTCTGCAAATTCTGTAACTGGTGACTGATCTCGCATTTACGAGATCAGTGTTCGCATTTGCGAACATTCCCCATGCCGACAGGCTCGCAATTGCGAGCAAATTCTTCGCATTTGCGAAGAGTACCTAGGCCAGCCTTAATTCACATTTGCGATCAAGAGGTCGCATTTGCGAGGAGCCATTGTTCGCATTTGTGGACAAGTCTTCGCATTTGCGAAGTGGAGCTGGACAGCCAGTGGTCGCAATTGCCATCAAATGGTCGCAATTGCGGATTGGTTAGAGTTCGCATTTGCGAACTATTCTTCGCATTTGCGGACGAAGCAGAGGTGTGATGGTCTTCACATTTGCGATTGACTCTTCGCGTTTGCGGGGTTCGCATTTGCGAATCCCAGGTCACAAATGCGACATCTGCA